AGAGAGAGAGAGAGAGAGAGAGAAAGAGAAAGAGAGAGAGAGACAGAGAGAGAGACAGAGACAGAGAGACAGAGACAGAGACAGAGACAGAAAGAGAGAGAAGTTACACACATTGTCATGCAAGCACATGCGCATGGCTCCATGCACAGACATGCACCCTCTCAAAACGATAATATTATATTGTACTCGCTTGCATGTGTTCACAAAGCAGACATCGGAACGGCGCGACTCGCCTACTCACTCACGGTATGACTGACCCACTTACGCACACGCGTGCGGCAGCTGGGCCGGTAGTGGGTGTGGCACGGGTGGGATGCCGTGCCGTGCTGACTTCTGACACACCACCACTCTAGTCCTGGCGAAGAGTGAGCATCCGAGAACTGGCTGGCTAGCTGTTTCTTCTTGTGTCTTTTCTGTCGAGCATAGAGGGCAATAACAAATTTGCCTTGTGGACAGCAAGGTCGTTGCTTTCGTTTGGTTACCTGTTGTTATTGTTTTTCTATGACAGAAGGTGGGATGAATGACGCAAAGCTTGAGCAAAGCATTCACTAGTGAAAGACAAGGTGTATATATCTCTACATGCAGTGTTTTTATCGATTTATCACGTAACGGACAGGAAGTGTGAGCGCTGTTGTTGTTGTTCAGTCAGTCGTGTTCGTGGTGTCACCACCCAAAAATGTGCTTTGTTTGTGGGCTGGAAAAGAAAGATTAATGATGTTAAATAGGCCCAAATAGACCCCCAAAAATGGGAAGCACTATTCAGTTTGCTGTGTTTGTGTGACTATTTGGACATTTTCAGCCGGCAGTGAAATTCTCTGACGGTGTAAGATAAAATAAAGTGGCAGATCTCTTATTTTGATATACATACACAACATGAGGACTTCGTGGACACTTCCTTGTTTGTACTGACTGCGTTTTTGTTTGTTTGTACCAACAGGTCATAGGATGTCAACGATACCAGCATTCCTCTGCAGTACAGTCTCTCCTCCAACCCGTTGTTATGATTTCTGAATTTAGCACGTTTGCAGAATGGATAGTTCCATACCATTTCGATGCCCAAAATGTGGGGACAATGCTCAGTTTGCCACTCTCAGTGAATTGAGAGGTCATTTGGAGGCAGATCACTCCTATCTCTCAGGAAAGCCTCGCCACAGAGCAGTCGTTTCAAACCTTCAAGGGGCCACAAATCTTGGAGATTCATCGTCTCTAATGGATCTTTACAACAATGAGTCACAGAGACTTGAGCAAATAATTCAAAAACACAAAGAAAATGAGTTGAACAATCGAAGGAAACGTAATGAATCCTTAAATGGATCAAGGAATGATCAAGACTCTTTTGGTCAAGGTGCACGAAGGATTAGAAACATAGACAGAGCAAATTTTAGGACATATGGTCATCCTGCTAGTCGGACGAGCAAATACAAGTTAAATGCTGCTAGAAATCAGATCCCAGCTGAGAGAATTGTTCAGAGAGAACTGAGGTCCTCAACTCCAAATGATCATGAGCTGCACGGAGATGATGGTGAGGGGAGAGACAGACTTAGGGACACTGTAGAACAAGCTTTAAGAAAGGTCCTTGTGGAAACCCTCCAAGATGACACTGTTGATGACACTAAAGACGTAAGAATCCCTCAGGAGATGAGTCCAACTGTTAGTAGAATCATACCAACCCAAGAAGAGAGTGGAAATGATGCACATGTTACTGGAACTGTAAAGGCTTTGTCTAATGAAATTCTGTTGGAGAGAGCGAGTCAGCGAGCAACAGCAGACTCACTGTTTTCTGCTCAAGATGTTTTAAGCAATGTAGAATTTGCTGCCGAAAAACGTCTTTCTCAACAACAAGAGTTGATTAATAAGTTGGCGCAAGACTTGAAAGAAAAAGAGAAGAAACTGGTTTCTGTTACAGAAGAAATGGAAGACCTTCGCACCCAGCAGACAAACAATGTTGAGAAATTGAATAGTCTGCAAAAACAGTCTGACTTAGAACATGAAAATTTGCAGAGAGAATTGAATCAGAAAAAGAAAGAACTGGACAGCCTCAATGAAAAAATAGAAGAGACTAAATTAATTGTTATGAAAGGTAACCATGGCAATCTACATCATAATGAACAAGATAATAATGGTTTTAACATTGAGGATGATAATAATATGAAAACGGTATCAATTACTGACAATGATGATGATTATAAAAAAGTGAACAAAAGTCCTGCCATATTTCCGGATGAAGTCAGTGAACAAAGCTCATTATCTAGTAATCTAGTGAATGCCCAACCGCATACCAAGCCACAAGAACAAATGCCGTCTAAGAAGGAAGAAGAACTTCTTGAAGTCAGGTTGAAGTCTCAGCGGCTGGAAAACGATAGGCAGAATCTACTGCAGGACATGCAAGCATTGCTACAAACTGCCGCTACTGACAAGAAAAGGTTACAGGATGAACTGGTTGACCAAGTAGATCTTGTGAATAAGCTTAATGTTGATGTAGAGAAATACAAGAAAGAACAAGCAGACCTGATGGGTAAGTTTAATCTCTCTTTGGGGGGGGGGGGTAGTCTCATTTATCCTCTGCGTTCCCTGACTACCCCATGCCACTGATTTTTACCTGATCACCTATTTTCCTATCACCGGGTTGTGTCCCTGACCTTTCAAGAACATACTTTAACTAAAGCTTTCGTTGGTATTCTTCTTAGTTCTGACTATCCAGAATATTTTTATATGTTTATTATACACGTGTAAGGAATAGTTTTGAATTTTACCTGCAGTGCATCATGCACAAGGCAGTTGCCTTTCATGAAATGACTAGGTATCTGAAAATAACCAATCCACCGATCAGGGGTCTTGAAAAGCTGGTGACACACCCCCAGGTTGTCTGTCTGTATAACTTATTTTAAAAGCCAATGTGCTTCTGTATTAAAAAGTCTAAGTAATGTCTCCATCCCTCACCACCTCCGCTGCCCCCATAAAAGTTTTACTCCAGGACTATCTCTGTTTAGGTTTACAGTATTCCTTGTAAGCTCCTTAACTTTACCTACAGTTTCAATGGGCTATTCAAATGCAAATTGGGTCAAGGTTCTTTTCATTCTGTTGACATTTTTTATAAACTGAAAATCAATTTTGTTATTTTTGTGTTGTCCAGTGAGCAGATAGATCTTTTATATCTTTCGGAGCGAATTGATTTTTCTGCTTTTTATGGGTTTTTTAAAAATAGAAAACCCTTCTGCAATGTTATTTAAATTTAAAATTGACTCATCCTCTGTACTTTATAGCGTAGGGATCAATGGCTGCAGGATAACAAATTATGTATTCATTTTCTTAACCGTAATAGGCAGTCCTTTGTACTACTCCCGAGAGAGAATCAAAGGAACTGCACCCTGTTTGATACCTACAGAGTTATATTTTTTTTCCTTCAACTTTTTAATTGTTCAAATTGTTTCTTTTTCAGAGGAGACAAGTGCTCTGTACAATCAAGCAGATGTATGTCTTGCAAAATTAAGATCAACTTTGGTAGAGAGGGAGCACCAGCTGAAGTCAGCAACTAGTCTTCTCGATGAGGCAAAAGTAACTCAGCAGAAGCTGATTAAAGAGAAAGATGAGTGCTTCAGGTTGGCTCAGGACCGAGAAAATTTGTTTCGGTCCATGCTTGAGTCTAACAGTGACCAGGTATGTCAGATGTCTACTTTTTATTTTTCAATTTAAAGTGATGTTGTGGTCTTATGACGAGTCAGATCATACCAGCAACCTGCTGGGTCATTGGTATTTAGTCTTGATAGCGTACTTCACATTTTAATTTCTTTTCTCTTCATTACAGGAAAAAATGGTGCTAAACAGCACAAAGAACAATGTTCTCCTTTCCACCTTTCTGGCACATGAATGATGGTGTAAAACTAGCTTGTAATATAAGAAGTATATATGGGACAAACAATGTCAGAAAAGGAATTGTTTATTATTGTATTTCATTCTTGTAAAGAGGATGCTGCAGAAAGAAGAAAAAAAAATAAAAAAGAAGAAAAGTAAGAAAAGAAAGTGAAAAGAGAGTCAATGTCTACAAACAAGGAGAGAACAGAGCTCTGTCTTTTAGAAATGATAAACTTAGTGGAAAGCAAATGTGGATCAATAAATATGTAAATTAGGCGGAGAATTCACAAAAGTAGGAAATGCAGAAAAGATTTGTCAAGAGAATCTAAGAAAGAGAATGACAGTGATGGTTATTTATTTTGAGCATTTACCACGCCCATAACGGTGTTGTCTTTTTAACAATGTTAGATATGTTCACGTAGGCTGTGGTGTGTAAAGGGCTAAAGGGAAGAAAATGGAAAATAATAACTCAGGGAGACAAAGAGTTTATGATTTATGGATCACAGTGACATGAGAAAAATTGGGAGGGGGATAAAAAAAAGTGGATTGCAGTAGCAATATCAGATTGAATTAACACAGTTGCTTCTTTCCGCAGACGCAGAACACAAGAGGATTTTTGCAAGTTTCATTTACATTTTCTGTAATTTGATGTAAAGAAAGTGTTTTCTTTTAATGTTTGTTGTTACACATAATTGTTGGTCTACAGTCTGCAGCTAAATTGTGTTTATGCTATAGGTGGAATTTTACCTCCTTTGTATTAAAAAAACTATATGTTGATCAAAGAGCTCTTAAATTGTAATATATGTGAAGCGTGCTGACAAAAGGAGTTACTTTTCGGATTCAAGCCGTAAGGAAATAGATTCACCACACTTAAAGGTGAAATTTTTACAATTTATAAGTATGAAATAATAATAGACAGGTTATCGTTAAAAAATATGGCATTAATAGAAAATATGCAAATTTGACCCTAATGTTGATTTTTGGCCAATATCTCCACTTGCAGATTGCGAGAAGTAACTTATTTTGTCAGCACGCCTCACATATGGCATGGTGAATCTTGATAGTTATGAATTTTTCTATTTTTTATTTACCAGGTGAAACTTATGAAGGACTCACTTATTTCAAGTGAGAGAGAAAACAAGGAACTGCAAGATCAACTTTCGGCATTGAGGTCAAAGTTGAGGAGAAAAGATAGTGAGGAGGACAAAGTTGCAGAAAATGCTTCTCGATGGAGACACCGAGCTGCAGAGAAAGAGCAAGAGCAGTTAGAACTTAAGGATGCCATCAAGAAAAAAGAAGAGAAGCTGAAAAAGTACCGAAGGTATTGTTGTTCTATCATTTTTAAAATCAAGTTTTTGTAAAAGATAGTGTGCTAACATTAAATATGTACAGCTATACAGGTAGATTAGATATCTTCTTTGAGAATTAATTTATGTTTGTGTCGTAAAGTTTACTCTATATGATGTGGTTTTGTTTTCGGACAGCCTACAGCTATTCAAGGGTACAACTTGGACATGGTGGAAATTGTGTTTGAATAAGTGGATAGTATTCATGCCTTGTAAGAAGTGTCTTGAATCTTCTTAGTTTGGATAGTTTTAGATTCTTTTAAAAATTCATAGTTCTGTTTCCTAGTTTCCACGAGAAGGTGCTTATAAGTAGTGCGCTTCTTTTAAGTTGAAAACAACCTATTTGAGTTCTTGTGTATCTGAGATGGTAGAATCCACTGAACAGTAATTATAACCTAATGCACTATTGTTTTTGTTTTTTAAATTTCATCCTATGCTCAGAGAACTTGAGAGAATGACGTCCTTTTTGAACAACACAGCTGAGAAGGAACAAGAAGCAAGAGCAAAGCTTGAAATTTTTATCTCTAACTTGATAGACAGAGCAGGCCGGGCTGAGGAAGAACTGAAGAAACTGAAAGCAGCTGAAGCACGCAATGCTGGAAAGCTAGTCAACTCAAAGGTAGCTTTGTTTTCCCACTTGAAGTTGTGTGCATGTTACTTTATTTCACTGTGGGTGAATAAGGTCGTTCTCTTGTTGTGTAATAGGTCTAGTTCTTTCCTTTTTATCTGAGATGTTTTCACCTGCTTTTTTTGTGTACCACAGTCCTGTGCTCTGGTTATTTTGATACCAATGTTGAGTTGCAGAAGACATCAATAGTTTGACATCATTTCTATATCAAAATCTGACGCTGTAGTGCGGTCTAAAATCTGTGGTGCAACTTATCCTCAAATATCTCTTTAACGGGTCGATCAATGTCACCCATACTTTGCACAGCAGCTTGTATTAGTTTGTCTTAACTTAATCATATTTTTTTTCACAACATTACAAATCTCCGCCACATGGAAAATGGGATTTTCACAGCACTCCCTGCTTCTCACATACATTTTGTACATGCATGTCGCCTACGTCACAGCTAACAAATGACACTTTTTAGTGGCAAAACTTGTTATAAAATATACTAACTTTTTAGGAAACACATCTTTTGCACTAAAGGTTCTCAAAACATGTGTTCAATAAAAGATAGTGTTACGATTAAAAAAACTGGAGACTAGCTTTTAAAAGTGATATTATTCTAGCTGTAAACCTTTCAAAATCTGTAGAAACCACCCATTTGGATTTTTTATAAGTATTTATTTAGGACTTTTCTAGAATACAGCTAACAGGTGTTTACAAAAATATTGAACTGTGAAGATAAATTGATACAACTCGTTGTGCAAAAGCTGGAGAGTATGTTTGATAGTTTATGAATACAATAAGTTGCACAAAGAATTTTTTACCGCACTGTGAAATAGCATCATATTCTGTATTATTTCTTTCAGTAGAAAGGACACAAGTGAAAGTTCTTTTTTTCTGTTCTGTGAAAAAAAAAAGAAGAAGAAATTGTTGAGTAGGGGTGTCTTGAAATGGGTTACCAACATACAGCTGTAAGAAATTTTTCCTTAAAAAATTTCCCATGAATCGAGGAAAAGTAGGTGGATGGCAAAATTGGAGTTGTGCTTTAAAAACTGTTGGATAACACACTGAGTTATTAGACAGAAGACATTCGTAGACGTCTCCGGCGAGCACCCAAGAACTATTCGGAGACGCACTCCTGCACACAGATGCACTGCTTTGGGGGGTCAAACTGCGTATTGTTTGCTGCAGTTTGGCTACTAAAACTTTTGCAAGTCAGCTATTTTCAAGAAAATTTCAAACCTAACTAACTGCAAAATATCAAATTACGGGTTATAACAAGGGGGCATGCCCCCCTGTAACCACCCAGATTTTTTACTTGGTCTTGAGGCACGAAGCCTTTTGATTGGTCTATCTCGGTCGCAGACGTCTCCGAATAGATACTGTGGAGTTATTACGTCTATAAATCATAAAGAACATTTTTCAGGACTGGGTAATAGTGAATTTTAAAGGCTTTGGGGATCAAGGGCTGGTAAAGTAAAGTAAAAGTGAAAAAGGCTTTCTGTTTACACTTTGCTTTTTTAAATTAAAATGTTGATAAATATGAGGATAAACATGTTTGATGATGATGATGATGATGATGATGATGATGATGATGATGATGATGATGATGATGATGATGATGATGATGATGATGATGATGATGACGAAGATAATGATCGTTTCTGTTGGTTGTTTTGTTTTTCCTAGCACTGGGTGATTATGATGGGGTCTGTTTATGTTTCTTTCAGTATCCTCAAGTCTATCTAATTGTATGGTATTCTGTCCCTATAATATGTAGTCCTATACAACATCATTTTCTTTTCTTTGTTTTCTCGACTGAATTTTTTGTTGCCCTCCTGATTTTTGTTTTGCCTTCTCTTTGCTTCACTATTTGGTCAAAATGTCTGTATGGTCAGAGAGGATGAGAATCTTTTTATAGATTCTCCAAAGAAATTTTTTCCATTGACTTTTAAAGTTCACAGTTTGCAGTTTGCACTTATTTGTAGCGGAAAAGCAAACTATTTGGTTTTTACTTTAACATTAGATTATTGCAACATGTATTACTACATGCTAAACCAGTCTATGACCCAGTGTAGAAGAGTAAAGATGTAGTATTTGATTCTTTTGTGAAATAAACATTAGCAAATTTATGTACAGTAACAATTTTCAAAGATGACTACCCTTTGTCGAGAGGAAAAGTGGCCATCTTAGACAGATGGCAGTTAGAGCAGGCTCAGCTTTACTTGCAATAAAGTGAAAACATTTAATTTCCATGAATGAAGATTTTTACTGTTGTCCACTTTTCATGTTGACATCAGGGCACCATGACAGAAACCAGAGTTGACCTGAGTGGATTGCCTGGTGCAGGCCTGAATACTTCTCCTAATCCTGACCCCGCCAGTCTCAGTGTTGACCCACTGAAGAGACTGTCACATTATAACAATCCCCAGCCAGACTTTCAACCCCTTCAAAGGTAAACTTAAATGCTCTTATTCTCATTAATATTAAAAAATAGGACAAATCTTTGTTGTCCATATGCTGTAATGTTGATTTGGTGTTTCACCACTCACAAACACATGCATACACACATACACACACTCACACACACACACACACACACACACACACACACACACACACACACACACACTCGCATGTGCTTACACACACATACCTGTTTTCACATCCTTTCTTCAACACACATCTATACACATTCACACATGACATATGTGTCGTGGCGCAGTGGAATCAAGCGCTCGTCAGTTTTTGGGCATAATATAGAGTTATTAATATCTTAAAGCTTGTTCACTTGTCTTGCATTTTGCAACAAAAAAAAGCTCATCTATCTTGAATAGAAGTTGAGGTATTTGTGATTGAAGGGGGTGGGGGTCTCCTGGTGTGAAAGATAAAATTTGCGAGAAGATGGCTGCCAAAGTTTGGTGACATCCAAAGCTTCAGCTTCAGTGTCCTTAGAAACAGGGGTACCTTACAGGGGTACCTTACAGGGGTATTTAATACGGGTATGAAAAATGTTCATAAATTGACTAAAACTGTGTCAAAGTGAAAGAGGAAATAGTTTATATGTTTATCTAACGCTTCTGAGCCAAAATATTCCTATTCAGATTCATAAGAGATTGCATTTGCAGTAATACTTCATGCACTCTGCAATCTCATTAGATGCTAGGACCATCTATTAGGGGACTGGGGGAGTTTCACTGGATGCTCCCATCATCCACTCAGGGGAATTGAGTTAAAGTGAAGCCTGTAGTACAAGTGGTACATGATGTATTTTTAATATAGGCCTACTGTGTGTTAAAGCTTATTGTCTTTTGTGAAATGAATGAATATAAAATCATGTTTTCTTACATTTCACTTAGCTGTTTGTTCTTTTGAGTAATTGATAAAGAAAATGCCTTTCAGATGACGTGTATGAGAGGATCTCAGTCTTTATATGTTTATACTATCGTTGGTCATAAAAAATATTTACCATATTCATCCTCATACATTGTTGTAATGCTGCTCTCTGAAAATCAGCTCTGTTTCTTTTTAACAGCAGTCACTGGAAGTCTTCACACACACATCCATCAACAGCCCCTGAGTTATCTCAAAGCAATATCATCCACGAAACTTACAATGATAAGGTGGAGAGATGGAACAATGAGAGTTATGCTGGAAGAAATGGAATGCAAGATGCCAGAGGACTTTCAGTGCCCCACCAGCATGCAACTTATCCTGATTTAGATCCATCAAAGACTTTTTCTGAGAAAGTGGATTACCCAGGCAGTTATCAAGGATCAACCTTTCAGTCAAAATATCCTTGTCAATCTGCCCCTCTACACAGTACCCAAAGTATTCCTTCAAGGTCACAAAATGGGAATGACTATCCAACACTACAACAGCCTTTTAACTCTCCCGGGCCACCACTATTTCAAAATACACTGGAGGTTGACAGAATATATCAGAATGTTTTGTCTCAAGAGAATGGGATCAGATCTTATAATGACAAAGTGTCACTGCCATCAGCGATGACAGAACAGCCGACTGCAGAAGAGAGGAGCAGCTGGCAACACGGGGATAGTGGTCCTCAACTGTCTTTTGATGAAGATGGTATTATTTGGGATAAAGATAGTCATGGCAAGAGAAGAGATAAATACAATGGTGAAAGGTTCAAATATAAAGGAGGAGACTCTGATATAGGAAGCATTTCAGCTTATGAGTATAAGTCAGACTATGATGAGAATTTCTCTGACGTGATGTATAATATTGAAGAACGCTCCCATGATGAATCGGAGGATGCAGATGTTTTGCTTTCTATGCCTAAGAGGAAGGGTTACGGCAGAATTACAAAGGCAAACACGCAACCTGCTCCTCTTGGAGAGAAAGTTGAGAAAGTATTGACATCCTTGGGACCTAAGCCAGTTGAGTCAGCAGCAAGGAAGCAATATAGTTCAAGCCACAGAACTCCAAATTCACAAACAAAAGCAAAAACACAGAGGGAACAAGCTTTTACAAAAGCAAATGACTACTCCACAACAGATACGTCTAGGGAGTCAAGTCCCTTACATAAGGCAAGGGAGGTTCAACGAAGACTTGAACGATTGTCAAAGAAAAAACCAGAGCAGCTTAAGTCTCCTGCATCGGACACCTCTCATGGATTTGAAGTTAGTCATCTTGAGTCCAATTTGTCATCTAGTAGTTATGCCTCTTTGAGAAATGTCAGATTCAAACCAACATCAACCACTCCTGTCGTTGAAGAGGCGATAGCACCTGTAAAGTTGGATAGAAAGCCTCAGCTTGATGCATCAATTTCAACCTTAGAAGAAAAGGAAAAGCAAAAACCTGAGTATCATCAAATAGTGAAGAAGAATTCAATTCTTGAGAGGAAGCCGAAGGTTAGAGAGGAATCTCCTGCATCTATATCAGTGACTGAATCAAGAACAGACTCTTTGACGGACAAAACGAGTGAGCAGATCTCGAGTCTTCCTTGTGACAAGGATCAAGATTTACCAGATGGAGGAGGCAAAGCAAGGGGAAGTGAGACACCGGCAGGCAATGGTGGTACAGTATACAGTGGACCATATTATTTAAATAGTAACGACCAGCCGCAAAATGTGGGGAAGGAGAGTGTCAGCCAAGCTCAGGTGTCACCAAATTTAAACATCGTAGGCATTGTGGGAGGAAAAGATAAACCACAACTTGCTGAGGAACTGCCGAAGAAGAACCAAGAGATTAGCCAGGGAGACAGTCATCGAGAACATCCAGTCTCAAGTGCAGACACGCCTAGGGCTGCTGGTCCACAGCCTGACAAAGTGAAAGCTGTTGATCATCAGGAAATAACAAACAAAGAACAAGAGAAATCACTGCAAAAGACAGATGTGGATCCGGATTTGAAAAAGTACACTGAAGCTGAGTTAACTCCGGCGAAGAGACTGAAAACTCGAGTTTTCTCCGTTCATGAAAGTCTAGAGCTCACCTCCTCTGGAGAAGAGTTACCTGATGAATCCACAAATCATGATTTTGAGGATGTAGAGAAGCATAGTGTAGATGCCTGCACGGACACAGATCTTGAGGTACTGGCTTCCCCGGGCCATGTTCAGAGAGGTCTGGTTGTGAGAAAGAAAGTGCCAGTCAAGAGACAGAAGAAACAGCGTAAACAACGAAATGCACCACCTCCAAGAAAGACTCTCCTGGAAATGTCAATGTCATCTGGTACAGAGGGCAAGTATAATACTATGATCTTTCTGTAGTGTACATTAAATTAAAAGTTGATTTGTAACTACTTTTGTAACTTTTTCATCTTCATAAAATTCACATAAATTGCCTCTGAACAGGTTCAAGATTTCTTTGTGAGAGATTGAATACATCTTTAGAGTTTTCAAAAAAAAATAAAAATTGTCCTCTTTATTTTTTATCTGGTTGGCTTTCTGTTGATAGTTATTTTCTGGTGAATAGTGTTTTAATTATAATGAGCCTGAGGTTTTGAAGATAGTCATTTGCATTCTGTCACCATGACCAGTATCTTAAGCAGTACTGGTCAAATATATAGGTCATTGTCAGTGAGTAAAGGTTGTAATGTTAGAAGTAGTGTTTTGAGGCCAATTAGACACTCAGTCAAGGTCAAGCAGGGTTGTGTTGGTGGGAAGTGTGTGTGCCAAACACATTTCTGCCTCCTGTGGTGGGTCTTATTTATTTTAATCTTGTTATTACGACCCCGCAGAACATCTTAGAGTCATGTTGTCGGTGGCAAAAGCTCTTTATTTGCCTGAACTATGTAAGTAAAAGGACTACAGTAGGCAGATATGGACGACCAATATGGAAGAAGCTATGTAAGGTGCTCAAGTGTTTGTCATCATATTTCCTCCAGATTTCTATATTGGAGAATAAAACTTGTGTATTTGTGAATGTATTAATGAATAGAAATTTCTCTTTGTTCCTGCAGATTTAGATGAGGAGGTAATAGCGAATCGTCAAATTTTGCATAAGATGCGGGTTGCCTTGTTCCGTATATTTGCATACTTGGACACCAAGACTTTACTGGTGATGGCAGAGGTGTGTAAAGAGTGGTGTAAAGTCAGCAGACACCCTGCCTTGTGGAAAAAAATTACTCTCTCTGATGGAGAAATGTCATCTCAGGTTGGTTTTGATATCTGGAGTGTTGTCTTGTGTTTGATTTGGCAGTAATTTTGTTCTAGTTGTTTTTGCTTTTATAGGAAAATATGAAATCAAATTTTGATTTTATATTAGAATCTGTAGGATTCTTTTGTTGCTGTCGCAAGAAAAGTGAGCAACCCCAATTTTTTTTGCTCACCCTTTAATGCAGGGTCAAACAACAATTTTTAGAACAATTTATTAATGGTGATATATAGACAGATGAAAATGTAACTCTTTGGAAGACTTAAATAAAAAGAATGTTTTTAATTTGACTCTAATCCATTTTCACCTATGCAAACATTTTTTGCATTTGTTCTCAATTGATTTTTGTTTATTTTATGAATCTTCTTCTTCTTTTTCTTCTTCTTTTTCTTCTTCTTTTTCTTCTTCTTTTTCTTCTTCTTCTTCTTCTTCTTCTTCTTCTTCTCCTC